CTCTCTCTCTCTCTCTCTCTCTCTCTCTCTCTCTCTCTCTCTCTCTGGTAGCAGCCGCCGCAGCAGCCATTGGAGCAAATGACGCCCCGTCTCCGCCTGTCTGGCCCGGGAGGTTCCACGCGATGATGTCGCAAGTCATAAACGGCGACTATGGCGTCGTCGACTTGTGGTAAGTTAAGGCGTGTTGCTCTACAGCCCGAAACGTGCCATGCCGTCCTTCGAAGCTGCGGTATGAGTGCAGGAAGAAGGTTACGACGAGCACGTAGTTTAATCGAATAAGCAGAGAGCGGCCCATGGAATGGCAAGAAATGGCGTCATTGTCGGTTGCAACCATGGCTCTAGAGCCGCGTCGGTGGCAACAGCCTAGGATGAATGCGAGGCGATAGATATATCTTACTCGTTTGTTGCGGTTGAAGGGTGGGCGTTCTTGGCGCGGTTGAGTCGGGTAGACCACGCGCCCGGCGGATATCTGCACCCCCCCACAGTTCTTGGCCAGGGCTGAGCTGGTGATGATTTAGCGTTGCGTGAATCTCCCGATCCATGCTCGACCAGACCAGCATCTACTGCTGGGGTTGTCGTCCTTTCTCTACTAGAATGCTCTCCTCTTGATGTCGTCTAAACAGCGATTTTTTTTTCTGGCGTCATGAGGGTCTCGTAAAACGTTCTACCCAGCGCCTATCCACGTACTCATGTACTCGCACATACATTGTGATTCATTGTTACAGCTTTGTACATACTACGGAAACGTTCCTCAGCTTCGTGTGACTTTCCTGGAGAGCATCTTCTGCTTCGAGCCACTTCCGTTTCCAACATTCCCCAGTCGCGCCTCTTCTTTCCATCCTGTGAAACCGTGTCTACAATGTATCCCCAAAAACGTTTTGTGACTGCATGTTTTCCAAACCTCTCCCATGTCTCTGTGTCGTCTGTCGGCTCCAAGGTACGACTATGCCGCGGGGCGCAACCTAAACATCATCCAGACCCAGAGCGGCGAGGAAGACGGACCCTTGTTCGACAACGAGCGCGCCAACGGGACAACCTACTATTACCATCCAGCCAAGGCCAAGTCCAAGTACTGCAACGTGAGCGAGAAGCCTTTGTTTGGTTGTTGGCCGTTGGTCCGGTAGGGGCTGGTGCTGATCACCGGGCACGAAGTTCTTTCGCCCATGAACTCGCTCGTAGTCAGCCGTCTGCATGCTTTTACGGTCCGCGGAGCCCGGGTTGGGGCGTTTCTCCCGAGCTGAATGCTGATGACTTAAGAGTTTCCCGTTTTTTTCTTGGGTTTTGCGGCACCGGTGTGCTGAGGCATGAGATCGGGCAAGTTCATGTTCCAATCTACGAGGCTGGGGCGACAGTCAGATCGGCGTGGTTGGTGTGCCAGCTTTCCTTACAGTAGCAACCTGCATTCCTAGACAAGGCCGGTCTCCTTTGACGTCTGTTGCGTAGGGCAAAGGGGACCCAAACCGGAGGCAGGAGCAAACACCGCAGAGTGGCAACAGCGGTAAACAAACCCGAAAATTGCGTGATTGCACCGCGGGCTATAGTCTACAAGATCAACACGCACGACGCTCTACCGGTGTCGCTGAAGTGCTTCATTTTCTCCCTGAACGACGAGAGCAAATTTGACGTTGGCTCTGTGGGGGACGTGTGTGCTTTCTTGGATGTCCACGATACAGGTGATCGACTTCGGGGTGGGAATCATCAGACCTGATTGGCTGGAAGGCGCCACCTACCTTGGGGAGGAGGAGTGCGGCATCTACCAGTGAGTGTCCGGGCCTTCATTGCGAGAAGCCAGGGTCACGTTCAAGTGCAAACAGTGTATCTCTTGATTGCCCATGTATGTTACACTGCATGACGATGGAAGCCGGACGACCTTGTTGACGTGTGGCTCTGGCGCTGATGTGCCGACGCTGAGCTCTCTTGTTTGAAGTACACGAGCTGACAAGCTCAACAATGATTGGGTGCATTTTTGGTGTGGGTCGATGCTGAGAGATTTGAACGGCTTCAGGCTCACGGTCTTCGTCGTCTACGGACCCCAGAATGTTGTTGTCTGAGTAAACCCCAGACTCTTTGTTATCTGAGTGAAGCTTGCGTGCAACGGTGGTAGTTTCGTAGCTATCCCCTGCCCTTGCGAGGCAAGTGTCGGCTATGAGTGGACCTAGGGTTCAGTATTCCGCCATCAAAGACCCTCCGATGCTGCACCAGACCGCCTCCCGTCACTTCACCTTTGCGACGGCATCCAAATACTACCGAATCAACGCCCCTGCACTTCGCTGACTAGGCCGTCACATCGCCATCATCAACCATCGGAACCACCCACCACATTCAGCACCTCGCCACCAATCGTTAATAAGGCACCGTCTCGTTCTTTTTCGTTCAGGTGCCACAAGTGGGAGCAGGGCGAGATCCCGGAAGCTCACGCTAGGTTTCTAGGCCTGCGCACCCTCGACGAAGACGCCCCCTCCTCCAAAGCAGCCGTCGCGGACATGGCTCAAGAAAGTTCCAGGAATATTCCCGGCCAAATGCAGTCGTTCTTGTCTGCCGTTGCGGAAGGAGCGGGGGTGGTGGGGCAAGGGGTATCACGCGAAGAAGGAAGGGTGTTGTTGAGGGGGGGTGACGCACAGTCTGGGGGTTCAAGGGGGGGGGAAGGCGACCGATTCATCACCTACTGGAGCGAGAAGGGCACCGACCGACCCGTGAAGTGGCTGTTCTTCAACGACGCGCTCTTCCAGGCAAGTGGTTAGTTAGGATGTCCTGGCAGCATTATTTTGTTGTTGTTGCTGCTGCTGCGGCTGCTGCTGCTGCTATGTTTTTTTTTTTGTTGTTGGTTGTTGTGTCGGCGATGGTGACGGTGATCTTCGGCCCGGAAAACACAACACCGCACACATTATTCGGACGTAGTTGCAGACCTCAACGCGTTAACTGTTGATGTATACTCCAATGCACATTCGACGACCCGCGTCTGACGATTTGTGAAGAGTCCTGCAATTTGTGTACAACGAAGGAGCGGCGGGTGCATGGGGAAGCCGTTTGGCGAATACGCGCGAAGGGTTTTGAAATGACGAAGTTCTGGGTAGGTCAGAAACATGCTGAAGGTCTGGGCGCACTGTTGTATGAGAATGGCGTCAAAGTTTTAGCAATCGAGCGGATCTGCTTCGCCCTCGCTAGTAGCTTCGATCATCCTCTCCCATCTTTCCTCGGCTGTTCCTTCGCCACACCATTTTTTGTTTTGACATTCGGCTCTTGTGTAGCTGGAGCCTCCCCCCTTGAGACCCGTGGGGTCACACCTGTGTCCCTGTTCTACTGTTTTTTTCCCTGTTTTTCGCCCTTGTTCTACCGTAGGGGCCCTTGTTCTACCGTAGGGGTCACCCACACTACCGCCACGAAGGCCTCTGTACCTACCATTCGCTTTTCTCTGGTAGACGCACACTACCGCCGCGCAGGCCTCTGTACCTATCATTCACTTTTCTCTGGTCCACGCACACTACCGCCACGCAGGCCTCTGTACCTACCATTCGCTTTTCTCTGGTGTTGACTTGGCTTGCTGTTGTCCGTTGTCCGTTTGTGGCCAGGTTGTCCGGTTTGATGAAGGGGCTACCATGCCCGACCACGCGTTCAAGATCCCTGACTACTGCTTCGAGGAGGACTAACACGAGTGAAAATGCACGGTATATGCCACAAAGCATACTCCACAACGTATACCTCAAGGCCCGCGATGGCTGCAATGAAAGGGTTTCCGGCCGCGGATAAGGCGATTCGGATCTAATGAGAGGGTCAATAAACGGCCCCGTTCCTCTACCTCATTTTTTAACAGGACTCGTCAAGAGGAAGAGAACACGGCGGGCGTTCTTGCATGTACACTAAGATTGTTGAAAAACGGAGGAAAACAAACATGAGCTCCAACCTTTGTACACCGCAGATTGGCGTTGGTGGGAGAACATCCGTGTAAAAGCATCAGGAGGAGAAGAGTGCCTGGGGTGAATGCAGCTAAGAAATCGGATTTGGGCAGGGTTGATGGAGACCTATGCTGTGTGGGAGCATAAAGCTCTCGTGGAGTGTACAATCATGGGACCAAGTCCAATGATAACTGCCTCTGGTGAGCACGACTGTATGCCATGTCCCTGACCAAGGATTTCATGAATGAAGGTCGTGGGGGGGGGGCGTACTCTTATGTTTTGTTTTGCATGCCTTTGCGGTTGGACCATTGACCACGCGTCCTGGAGAGGACGGAGCATTGTTCCCACAGGACCGATCACCGATGGCCAATCGTTCCTTTCTACTGTGCCAAAGGTGGCTCAAAAATGTCTTCCCTAGTCTGTCTATCCTAACGATATCCCTTCCCGCCTTTTCAACCC